TTCATACTTTTAATGGATCTTTTGAGTTCAAGTCAATCAAACTGGGTATGGTTTAAAAAGAACCTGTGACAAACTGATGGTAGTGGCTGCATCAGCTCTGACTCAAGGGACTCACTAAGGTCTGTGTATGAAAACAAATTTTAGCTGCTAAAGGAAGGGATTTGCTCACAACCTGCAAGAGTTTCCAAGAAACAGCCAACATTCTAGATCAGTGGTTCTCAACCTTTTTAATGCCGCGACCCCTAACCGGTCGTAAGTCGAGGACTACTCAACTGGTGCAGCACCGTTTGCAGAATGGGACTTTTGGCGGGCTCAGCAGGGCGGAGACAGCCTGGACAATTCCTATTGGCTTTTGAAAGCCAATAGAATTAGACTCTATTCAAGAGAGTCTATTCTATTGGCTTTCAAAAGCCAATAGAATAAAAGGGAGTAGCACAGCTAAGGAAAAGAGGGGAAAAAATGGCGGACTGTGTTGTTTGGCGACCCCGTGAAATGGTTGTTCGACTCCAAATGGGGTCCCGACCCACAAGTTGAAAACCACTGTTCTAGATGCAATAATCGGGCGTCTCACTGGAGCTGTCCAAAGACAAGCAGGGACGTAAAAGGTAGAACAGCCAGAAAAAAGGCTCGGTCCAGATACTTGGCCCAATACCAGAACAGAAATACTGAGCAAGAGGTATCAGATAACCTCAAGGTTTTTTTTTTTTCACCTAAAAGATGGCTGAAGAATAATGTGATAATTGTGTTTGATATTTTGGAATATTTGAAACAATATAATGAAAAACAGTCACAAATATTTCTACATGCAGAGGCGGCCTTTGACTATTTGAGCTTAGCAAAAACCACAAGCAGGATTAGAATAGGATAGGATAGAATAGCAGAGTTGGAAAGGACCTTGTAGGTCATCTAGTCCAACCCCGTGCCCAACCAGGAGACCCTACACCATTTCTGATGGATGGCAGTCCAGTCTCTTCTTGAAAGTTTCCAGTGATGAAGCTCCCACAACTCCTGAAGGCAAGCTGTTCCATTGGTATTTGAGTATTAGATGCCTTGTGGAGGCATGGGAATGGAGGACAATCAACCAGTGGAACAGCTTATCCCCAGAAATCACGGGCGCTCCATCACTGGAAATTTTTAAGAGGAGACTGGACATTCACCTGTCTGAGATGGTATAGGTTCTCCTGCTTGAGCAGGGGGCTGGACTAGAAGACCTCCAAGGTCCCTTCCAGCTCTATTCTGTTCTGGTAGAGTGTTCTCTGTCAGAACATTTCTCATTTCTAGGTTGAATCTCTATTTGATCAATTTCCATCCCTCATTCCTTGTCTGGCTTTCAGGTGCTTTGGAAAATTACTCCCTCCTGTCTGTGACAGCCCCTCAAATATTGGAGCACTGCTATCATGTCTCTCCTGGTCCTTCCTTTCACTAGACTAGCCATGCCCAGTTCCTGTAACTGTTCTTCATAGGTTTTAGCCCCCAGTCTTCTAACCATCTTTGTTGCTTTTCTGTGCACTCTTTGTAGAGTCTCAACATCTTTTTTTTTTTTTTAGTGTGGAGACTAAATTGGATGCAGTATTCTATGTTGTTGTCTTACTAAGGCTTTATAGAGTATTATTAGTACCTCAAGTGATCTTGACTGATTCCCTCTGTTAATGCAATTTAGGATTGCATTGGCTTTTTTGGCTACCGCCGTACACTGTTAGCTTATATTTAATTGATTGTCCACTAAGACTCCATGGTCCCTCTCACAGTTACTGCTATTAAACCTGTTTCACCTTGTTCTGGCTTGCACCAGAAAGGTAAATTATGCATGCATATTAAAGAAAGTCTAATATTTATTTGGACTCAAATGGTCCTTGCATGGGATTTTAGACAACTATTTGTAGTCCTCAGTTTACAGCAGTGATGTATGACCATTTTGCACACTTAACAGCCGTTGCAGCATCCCCATGGTCACCTGATCAAACTTCAGATGCTTGGCAACTGACTCATATTTATGACAGTTGCAGTGTCCTGAGGTCATGTGATCATCTTTAGTGACCTTCTGAAAAGCAAAACCAATGGGATAGCCAGCTTAACAATGTTACTAACTTAGCCAACACTCCAGAAGACAGGCTTAGGATACAGGAGGATCTGGACAGACTTGAACACTGGGTGCTATCTAACAAAATGAAATTCAATGGTGAAAAAAGTAAGGTTCTACATTTAGGCAACAAAAACCAAATGTACAGGTATAGTATAGGGGGTACCTTGCTCAATAGTAGTAACTGTGAGAGGGACCTCGGAGTCCTAGTGGACAATCACTTAAATATGAGCCAGCAGTGTGCTGCAGCTGCCAAAAAAGCCAACACAGTGCTAGGCTGCATTAACAGAGGGATAGAATCAAGATCATGTGAAGTATTAATACCACTCTACAATGCCTTGGTAAGGCCACACTTGGAATACTGCATCCAGTTTTGGTCACCACGATGTAAAAAAGATGTTGAGACTCTAGAAAGAGTACAGAGAAGAGCAAAAAAGATGATTAGGGGACTGGAGGCTAAAACATATAAGGAACGGCTGCTAGAATTGGGTATATCTAGTTTAATGAAGAGAAGGACGAGGGGGACATGATAGCAGTGTTCCAATATCTCAGGGGCTGCCCCAAAGAAGAGGGAGTCAAGCTATTCTCCAAAGCGCCTGAAGGCAGGATAAGAAGCAAAGGGTGGAAACTAATCAAGGAGAGAAGCAACCTAGAACTAAGGAGAAACTTCCTGACAGTTAGAACAATTAACCAGTGGAACAACCTGCCTCCAGAAGCGGTAAATGCTCCAACACTGGAAGTTTTTAAGAAGAGACTGGACAGCCATTTGTCCGAAATGGTATAGGGTTACCTGCCTGAGCAGGGGGTTGGACTTGATGACCTCCAAGGTCCCTTCCAACTTTATTATTATTATTAACTGCAATGATTCACTTAACAAATATGGCAAGAAAAGTCGTAAAGTGCAGCAAAACACACTTAACTGTCTCGCTTAGCAGTGGGAATTTTGGGCTCAGTTGCCGTCATAAACCAAGGACTACCTATATTTCTATTGAAGCTCTTCCCACACTTGAATTATTGACATGGTTTCTACCATGTGTGGATCCTTCTATAGCAAGTAAGCGCATTACTCCGTTCAAAGCTCTTTCCACACGCCATGCATTCATATGTTTTTTTTCCTCTGTATGGATCCTTTTATGGAAAGTGAGATCACAACTCTTTCTAAAGCCTTCTCCACATTGCACACATTTATATGGCTTCTCTCCTGTGTGGATCCTATTGTGGGAATTAAGACGACTGCTATGAGTAAAGCTCTTTCCACACTCCATGCATTGATATGGTTTCTCCCCTGTGTGGATTCTTTTGTGGGAGGTAAGAGCAGAATTCCACCGAAAGCCCTTTCCACACTCCACGCATTGATACGGCTTCTCTCTTGTGTGGATCCTCTTGTGGGAATTAAGACTACTGCTACAAGTAAAGGTCTTTCCACACTCCGTGCATTTATAACGTCTTTCTCCTTTGTGAATCCTTTGATGGATTATAAGAGACTTAAAATAACAGAAGGCCTTTCCGCACTCCACGCAATTATATGGCTTCTCTCTTGTGTGGATCATCTAATGGGTATTAAGATGACTGGTACAAGTAAAGCTCTTTCCACACTCAATGCATTGATATGGTCTTTCTCCTTTGTGATTCATTTGATGGATTAAAAGAGACTTAGAATAACAGAAGGTCTTTCCACACTCCATGCATTGATACGGCTTCTCTCCTGTATGGATCCTCTTATGGGAGGCAAGATTACTACTCTTCCTAAAATCTTTCCCCCACTCCATGCATTGATATGGCTTCTCTCCAGTGTGGATCCACTTATGGGAATTGAGACTACTGCTACAAGTAAAGATCTTTCCACATTCCAGGCATTGATATGGCTTCTCTCTACTGTAGATCCTCTTATGGTAATTGAGACCACTGTGACCAGTAAAGGTCTTTTCACATTCCAGGCATTGATATGGCTTCTCTCCAGTGTGGATCCTCTTATGGGAATTGAGACTACTGCTACAAGTAAAGGTCTTTCCACACTCCATGCATTTGTAAGGTCTGTCTCCTTTGTGGTTCCTATGATGGATTATAAGAGAGCTATAATAAGAAAAGGTCTTTTCACATTCCAGGTACTGATATAATTTCTCCTCTGTATGGGTAGTTTTATGCTGAATCAGAGCTCGTTTCTTGCAAAAGCTCTTTCCACACTCCACATATTTATATGGCTTCTCTCCTGTATGGATCCTCTTACCTCCATACATTTATATGGCTTCTTTCTTGTGTGGATCCTCTTGTGTGAATTAAAATTACTGCTATAATTAAAGGTTTTTCCACACTCTGTGCATTTGTAAGGTCTTTCTCCTTTGTGATTCCTTTGATGGATTATAAGAGAATGATTATAACAGAAGGACTTTCCACACTCCATGCACTGATATGGTTTCTCTCCTGTGTGGATTCTCTTGTGAGAGTTAAGATTACTCCTACGAGTAAAGGTTTTCCACACTCCATGCATTTATAAAGTTGTTCTCCTCTGTGACTTCTTTCATGACTTGTAAGAGTATGATTATTACAGAAGGTCTTTCCACATTCCCTGCATTTATAAAGTCTTTCTCCTTTGAGATTCCTTTGATGTCTTATAAGAGAGTAATTATAACAGAAGGTCTTTCCACACTCCCTGCAGGTTTATGGTGTCTCTTCTAAATGTGTCCTTTTATGGGAAATGAGATGATCAGATTTATTAAAGCTCTTTCCACACGCCATGCATTTATATGGTTCTTCTCCCGTATCAATGTTTGTACGGTTATGAAGCCAACTGACCCTTGGAAAGCCTTTTATCATTCCACTTTGTGATTTCTTTGTTTCATCCCTCTTTGGCTGTATCTGATCTGGCAACTTCCCTTTTCCCTCTTTTGATTGGATCGCTTGGCATTCTTCCTTGCAATTCTTATTCTCTTTCTCATTAAAGCCTTGAAAATGAAAAATGAAAACTGTAGCAAGCATAGAACAATCAAATCTTTTCTTCTGAAATTTAGTCAAGAAATCATCAACATATTTTGCCTTTTTTTGTGGGCAAACATGAAGATTCCAAACTAAGATTTTAGCAAAGACCAAGTGGATCCCTACTGATCCTCATATATCAGAATTGGACTATATCACAACAAACCTAAGAGACAATCCTGATTTAATCTTTGACCTGGGACTATTCCATAGTTCCACGTATCATGCTGGGTTAGCAACATATCCACCCGCTCCCGAATTTCAATGAAAGTCTCATCTCCACTTGTCTGTAGAGCAGAATCTTTCAAAGCCAAGGGGAATTTATTTATTTATTTATGAGACTTATATACCGCTTTAAGTGCAAGCACTCTCTAAGTGGTATACACCAGTAAGCAATGTATGTATATATTTACATTGCCCCCAACAATCTGGGTCCTCATTTTACCTACCCCGGAAGGATGGAAGGCTGAGTCAACCTTGAGCCAGTGAGATTTGAACCGCTGACCTGCTGAACACAGTCAGCTAAAGTGGCCTGCAGTACTGCACTCTAACTGCTGCGCCACCTCGGCTCTTATTTCTGCTCCCCACCCTCAGCTTAGGACAGTGGTTCTCAACCTTTCTAATGCCGCGACCCCATAATACAGTTCCCCATGTTGTGGTGACCCCAAACCACTTATACATCACTGGGTGCCAGGGGCGTGGCCAAAGGGGGAAAAAATGGCGGACAGCCTTGTTTGGTGACCCCCGTGAAATGGTCGTTCGACCCCAAATGGGGTCCCGACCCACAGGTTGAGAACCACTGGCTTAGGATGTTAAACTCTGTACACAAGTGGGCACATCTCTAGGAAGGGAACATCCCTCTCAGGGCTCCTCCAGTCCTGCTTATAGCAGCTCACACCCATCGGGGAGCCAATGACCAAGCTCAGGAGTGGATACCGAACCCCTGGTAGGCTGGACCTTGCTCAAGAGAGGCCACACCATCCCTGCATGCAGCCTGTCCCTCAGATTCTGGCTAATACCTTCTATGGCATGGAAATGAATATTTTGTATTTTATAAGCAGAAAGCATTTAAAAAAAAAAAACAAAAAAAAACATTTCCTTTATGTAAAAAGGAAGGCAAGGCAGTTTTCCAATTTTTCTTCCAATAAATTTCCTTCTTCCATAAAGTCAGTTTGGTCAAACGGTTAAGGCACTAGAAACTGGGTGACTGGGAGTATTAGTTCTGCCTTAGGCATGAATGCTGGCTGGGTGACTTTGGGCCAGTCTCCCTCAGCTCAACCCAGGTCACAGGATGGTTGTTGTGGGGAAAACAACAGGGGGAAGGAATTTTGGGATTGTCCACTGCCTTTATTATTTACAAACAATAAAGACAGGATATAAAGAAGCAATGTTTGTTACTAGAAATATCACCTAAGCGCCCCCACCCAATGCCTTCTCTACATTTCTGAGCACAGAAAGGAGTTCTTACCCAGAGAAGCCAGATTCCTGGAATTCTCCAGCATGACTTCTCCGTGGAGTGCTTTTGGGGCAGGGTCCAGCTGGGACCACTCCTCCTTGGAGAAATACACGGCCACTTCCTCAAAAGACACAACATCCTGAAGAAGAAAACAAGTTTCCCTGTTAACGGATAATCTCAAGAATAATTTGACAGTTTTCTTCCACTAATTCAAGGAGAGAGCTTGTAATAGTATACATCTATGGAGATTCTCAATCACCACGTCATGGTTGTCCCCAAAGATGCTTTTCAAAAGGCATGGTAATGGTGTGTGAGACAGATCCTGGGAGACAGAAGGAAGAGCCCCAATGCTCACAATTGTCTAGTCAATGAAATCTGAGAGTGAAGTGTGTGTGTGTGTGGAGAAAGCGTCTTGCAAAGTATCTCCTCTGAAGGGAGAGGGTAGGCTAAGCTGAGTGTGAATGTTCAATGACTTGATGACAAATTCATATTGCTTAGAAACAGCAATTTATTACATTGATCTCTAGAACAAAATGAAATCCACCCAAGATTCATGGACCTTTTCTGAGTTTTCTCCTCCTTATCGGAAGTAGAGGTTCAGCCAATCCTTCAGCTCCACCACAAAGAGGAGGTGACTCTACAAATTCCAAGGACAGCTTTCTACTCTCTGTGAGACAGAGAAAAATGGTGGAAGCAGATTTGTTAAAGACAGAGATTCCAAAGAAGTGCAGCAAAACAATCAGCTAAATGTTGAAATCTCACATCACACAGAAAGAGCTTCTGTTACCTGGCATGATGTCCTGACTTTGACCTTTCTGGAAGTTCTCCCCGAACAGCAGCTCTTGAGAGGGTTTGGATGAATCTTCTCCCCCCTTGGGATACTCAGTCGTAGCTTCCAAGGATTTCTGGACATGATGGGATAGGAGAAACAAAGGAAGAGCACAGAAATGAATTATCGTACTGCACCTTCAAACTAGCAGACCCCAATGCCCATTACCAAAACCCAAAACAGAACGGAAGAATTGCCCCAAATATATCCTCTGGAAGAATAGAACAACTCGCTTTAGGAGTTAATAATCCCAGAAAATTCTGCCAGAAAAGAATTGACAAATACAGAGTGATTCTCTTTAGAGCTGCCATGATTACATTCTCACACCTGCAACTCTTCTTGAATTTTTTCTTCCTCCTGATTCAGCAAGAAGCCTTCGGCCAGGGCCACCACCTGGGAACTGGTCTCTGCTCCACACTCGCACACCCATTTCTCAATTTCTGGTGAAAGGACAGCCAGGAACTGCTCCAGGAGTACCAGGTCCAGCATCTGGGCCTTTGTGTGTCTTTCTGGCTGCAGCCACTGATAGCAAAGGCGGTGAAGCTGACTGCAAATATCTCGGGGACCCCTCCCCTCCTGGAACTGCACTTTTCTGAAGTGACAGCATTGGACCTCTGAACTGTTGGTTTCCTCTTCTTGGCTCTTCTGCCCAGGACTTGCCCCATTCATCTCAAAGCTCCAAGACTGAGCAGCTCCAGGGTTTTTTCCAGCTGGGCGTTGTCCCTCCATCTTCTCTCTGGTCTCTAGTCCAGCTCCAAATTGGACTGATGGATCTCCACAGGTCTTACTAATCACAAGAAATCTGGCCAAATCTCCTAAAGGCCATTCAGCCCTCTTCCCATACAAGATGCTTAGAACTACAAAAGAACCAGGAAAGATTTCCAACTTATATATCTGAAATGGAAAAGAAAAAAAAAATCCAAAAATACAGGTTGACCAACTTAACAACTGAGCACACACAAAAACTGAAAGAAGAAATTCTTATCAACCCACCAATATCTGGGAAGAGGGGGAAAATATTAGTTAGGTCAACCTACCTGTGTGTGGAAAAAAATTCTGTAGTAAGCTGATGGATCAACTTCTATCAAGGACTAAACATTCTGGATACATAAGTTTAAAATATGTTTTTGATTTCTAAATCCTACTTATTTATTCAAATAATTCTGATGGCTGCTTTCAGCTTGAAAACCAACCTCTGTACAATCCAGGTCATAGACGTCTCTGGTCACAAACAGCCATTGAGATGAGTGGCTTTCTAAATCGATTTAATAGGTAAATCAATCAATATTTGAATTTCTCATAAAACTTTAGCCAGCAGAACCCCATTAACCTCCTTGCCCAAACCGCTATAGGTACCTGAGAAATCACAATCAACAAACCACCATTCAATGCAAACAGAATAATACCCGAATCAATAAACCAGCTTAACATGATGTTTTCATTCACGCATCTCCTGGAAACAGTTTCCCCACTTTTAGCCTGGCGATCCTGATTTTCTTCCTGGAGGCAACGCAGCGCGTCCGAAGCTTTGATTTCTTCCCTGCCCGGCCCGTGCATGCACAGGGGCGGCAGGGAACATGGGACCCTGGGCTCCCCCCTTCCCACGACTCGGAACCTGATGAAGTTTTGCTTGTCTCCATACACGGTCCAGCCCACTTACCGAACGCCGGAGTCAGGTTTTGATCTCCATTCGTACAAGGCTCCCTTGCAGCCTTTGGGACTCCTGGGAAGGTTCAGCCTAAGGCTCGTAGCGAGGGAGATCGGAATTGGACTCTGTAGGAACGGCAGACGCACTTTCAGCCTTTTCTGCAAAATGCTATGCGCCTCTCTCGACCTGGTGAAAGAGCGCATGCTCAGTTCCCTCCTGAAGCGGGGGGCGGGTGAGTGCTGCCCTGCCTTTCAAACGGCTACCCCAGGAGTCCCCTGGTGGATCCTGCGCGCAACCCTAGATGGACGCTGTAACGGCGTAGGGGAGAGCATCATGTTCCACGTGGGCCTGGGATGATTCAGTGAAGAAAAGCTAAGTCTCCACAGCAAAGGACAAGACTCCTTTTAAGAGAAGATGGCCCCGATGCATCAGCCTAGAGCAGGGGTAGGCCACCTTGGCTCTTTTATGACTCGTGGACTTCAACTCCCAGAATTCCTGAGCCAGCCATGGCTCAGCTTGGAAACCTCTCCCTTTCCCCTCAGCATGGCTGGCTCAGGAATTCTGGGAGCTGAAGTCCACGAGTCATAAAAGAGCCAAGGTTGCCTACCCCTGGTATAGGGTTTCCTGCCTGAGCAAGGGGTTGGACTAGAAGACCTCAAAGGTCCCTGCCAACTCTATTATTCTGTTAACTGTCTGTACAATTTAGTCATTTGGAAGGTATTGAAATGAATGAAGTCTTTAAGAAGAGACTGGACAGCCCTTTGTCTGAAATGATATAGGGCAGGGGTAGGCAGCCTTGGCTCTTTTTCAACTCCCAGAATTCCTGAGCCAGTCATGGCTCAGCTTGGAAACCTCTCCCTTTCCCCTCAGCACATCCCTTTGTCTGAAATGATATAGGGCAGGGGTAGGCAGCCTTGGCTCTTTTTCAACTCCCAGAATTCCTGAGCCAGCCATAGCTCAGCTTGGAAACCTCTCCCTTTCCCCTCAGCATGACTGCTCAGGAATTCTAGGAGTTGAAGTCCACGAGTCATAAAAGATCCAAGGTTGCCTACCCCTGGTCTAGAAGTTCTAAGTCTGTCAAGCCCCACTACACCCTGCTGATAAATAAAACTGGATTGGAAACCTACTTGGCACAATTGACCTTTAGCTGGCAGACGTTGTGAATTGTCAGCCTGAGGGAGGTGGGAAAAGGGTTTGCATTCCACAGTTCCCCCTGAAGGAAGATTGTGGGTGCCCTTTCCTCAGTGTGGTGGCCAAAGTTGATGATGAAGTGGATGGACCCCCAATCCATGGTGCCATGGATGCTTGCCACCTTTTCCCAATTGATAAAGAGATCAAAGGTCATGGAAAAAGTCATCATACAGAGTTCACTTCTAGGAATGTTGATCAAGACCTGGCTGGAACCGTGCCTATTTGCAGGTTGGGAGATGGATGGCTACATTCCAGCCCTTTTGTCTCTTCAATAGAAGAGTCATTTTTTTCCAGTTCCTAGAAATTCAAAGTCAAAGCCCATAATAGAAGCTATGTATCCTGAAGCTCCTGGTCATGGTAAAGAAGGCGGACAGAGAAACTGGAATGTTTCTTATCTCCTCTCCAAAGTTCAGCTGCTAGACAAGGTCCCAAGACCTTCTCAGATTCAGGCTGCCTACCAAGGCTGTCTTCTCTGGCCCTCTGCCCATGGACAGAATACACCTTTGAGCCAATTCTACAAAGCCATTCCAGTGGTCTAGACTCTAGAGCAGTGATTCTCAACCTTTCTAATGCCGTGACCCCATAATACAGTTCCCCATGTTGTGGTGACCCCCAAGTGGGTGTGGCCACCAATAAGAGGGAGTAGGACAGCTAGGGAAAAGGGAAAAAAATGGCGGACAGCATGGTTTGGTGACCCCCCCGTGAAATGGTCATTCGACCCCAAATGGGGTCCCGACCCACAGGTTGAAAACCTCATGAAAGAGTCCCAATCCTGTGTCCTGTGTCCGAGTCCTAGTTGCCATAGTTTTCCTCTCTATTTTACAAAGTCAACATGGCCCAACCCAACCAAATGTCTTCCCACACCAGCTGTCCTAGTGAGAAAAAAACTTGACTTGTAAATATGAGGATGTAAACATCTGCACACATTCACAGGTATAAAAATCACCATTCGTTATGTTTTCATTCAACTACCTCACTGCCCGTGATGGATTTAAAAGAGGGATTGAGACTGTGAAGTGTACAGGTAGACCTTGGCTAAGGAACGGAATGTGGATGGCAATTTCCATCACTAAGTGATGCAGTCGTAAAGCGTGACATCGCATAAGCCAATCCCAGTGTTGGGAAGGTGCCAGCGCTTTACCTGCTGTCCATTAATAAAGAAAAAACAACAGAGGAAGTCCCACAGAAGATTTAAAAGACAGACCAGGGTTTGTTAAGAGTAAAAAATATTGTTGTATACTCGTACAAATAACAATATACTTGCCGTAGAAATACTATAATATAGCATAGATGGAGAATAATATGTAATATAATAACAGTATATTATAGAGAACATTGTATAGTACAAATATATACTAAAAATCTATTATGACAAAACAAACATAGAAAGAACTTACAGATTGTTTGTATGTTTTACTTTTGTACCTTGGATATTTTTTTCAAAATAAAATGTCCCCAAAGTCCTTATAGGAAGACAGAAAACCTGAACTGTCTAGAATCCAGTACTTTTGATGGATGTTTTCAGCTCAAGTCAATCAAACTGGGTAGGGTTTAAAAAGAACCCATGACAAATTGGTGGCAGTGATGGGATCGGCTCGTGAGTCAAGGGGCAACAGGAAGAGGTATCAGATAACCTCTAATAAAGTTGTGGGGTTTTTTTTTTAACCTAAAAGATGGTTGAAGAATAATGCCAGAATTGTGTTTGATATTTTGGAATATTTGAAACAATGAAAAACAATCAGGAATATTTCTATATGCAGAGAAGGCCTTCGACTATTTGAACTTAGCAAAAAACCACAAGCAGGATTCGGGGTGCACTAAAAAGGCAATTTATGCATGCCTATCTAAGGAGGACTTCAATGTATTTGGAATATTATTCAAATGATCCTTGCGCGAGACTTTAGATCAGACATGTCAAACACAAGGCCGGGGGCCGGATGCGGCCCGCAAAATGGTTTCACGTGGCCCGCGAAGCCATCCTGGAAACAGTGAGGGAACGGCCCCCGCTGCCTTGGCCCTGGCCAGGCCAGCCGGGAGCCAATGTACAATTTTGTGGTGGCCATCTATGCTGAAATGCATTCAGTTTTAGCTCCATAAACCAACCCCACGTGGCCTGAGAGGAACAGTGAGGCTCCTCCAGTGGACCATGCCTAGGCGCTTGCGCTGGTCCACCCCCTTCTGCCAGAGACCCTCAGAACTGTCCCATTCCTACCCAGGTCCCCACAGGCTCCCTTGACACAAACGATGTAGAGCTGGCCACGCCCACCCAGTAGGCCACACCCACTCCATTCACGTCCACCCAGTAGGCTGCACTCACCCTGGCCACACCCACCCAGCCCCGTGAGGGCAACCGCAATGCTGATGCGGCCCTCAATGAAATTGAGTTTGACACCCCTGCTTTAGATGACTGCCAGTAGTCCTCGGCGTTAGTGATCGTTCAAAGGCAGCAGCACTGAAAAGTGACTTATGACCATTTTTCACACTTTGCGACTGATTAAACTTCCGATGCATCGACAACCGACTCATAATGGTTGCAGTGTCCCGAGGTCATGCGATCCTCCTTTTGTGACCTTTGGACAAGCAAAATCAACGGGAAAGCCAGATTCGCTTAACAAAGAGTGTTATTAACTTAATGACGGCAACGATTCACTTAACAAAATGGGGACAAGAAAAGTTGTAAAATGGGGCAAAACGCAACAACGGTCTCGCTTAGCAACAGCTTGGGGGCTCGATTGCAGTCACAAATCACGTGTGTTTCTACCAAAGCTGTTTCCCACACTTCATTTATTGATAAGGTTTCTCCTGTGTGTGAATAGTTTGGTAGGAGCTAAGAGCATAACTCAAAATACTTTGGCCACCTAATGAGAAGGAAGGGCTCACTAGAGAAGGGCCTAATGCTGGGAAAGATTGAGGGCAATAGAAGAAGGGGACGACAGAGAATGAGGTGGCTGGATGGAGTCACAGAAGCAGTAGGCGTGAGCTTAAATGGACTCCAGAAGATGGTAGAGGACAGGGAGGCCTGGAGGAACGTTGTCCATGGGGTTGCGATGGGTCGGACACGACTTCGCAATTAACAACAACAAGAAGAGCATAATGCCACCTAAAGCCCTTTCCTCACTCTGTGCATTGATGTGGTTTTTTCCCCCTTGTATGGATCCTTTTATGGGAAATGAGATGACAACTCTTCCTAAAGCCCTCTCCACATTGCACACAATTATACGGCTTCTCAACTGTGTGGATTCTTTTGTGGGAATTGAGACTACCGCTACAAGCGAAGGTCTTCCCGCACACCATGCACGGATATGGCCTTTCTCCTGTGTGAATCCTTTTATGGGTGGTAAGAGCAGACTTCCACCTAAAAACCTTCCCACACTCCATACATGGATACGGCTTCTCTCCTGTGTGGACCCTCTTGTGGGAATTAAGAGTACTGCTACACGTAAAGGTCTTTCCACACTCTGTGCATTTGTAAGGTCTATCTCCTTTATGAATCCTTTGATGTCTTATAAGAGAGCTGTAATAGCAGAAGGTCTTTCCACACTCCATGCATTGACATGTCTTCCTTGCTATGTGGATCCTCTTGTGAGAATTAAGATTGATAGAAGTAACAGTCTTTCCATACTCCATGCATTTATATGCTCTTTCCCCCATATCGATGCTTGTATGGTTAGGAAGCCAGCTGACCAGAGGAAAGCTTTTTTTCATTCCACTTTGTGATTGCTTTGTTTCATCACTCTTTGGCTGCATCTGATCTGCAAACTTCCTTTTTCCCTCTTTTGAATGGACCGCTTGGCACTGATCCTTGTCATTCTTATTCTCTTGCCCAATAAAGCCTTGAAAGGAAAAAAAAAAAAAAAAAAAAAGAAAACTGTAGCACACTGGTTCTCAACCTGTGGGTTGGGACCCCATTTGGGGTTGAACGACCATTTCACGGGGGTCGCCAAACAAGGCTGTCCGCCATTTTTTCCCCTTTTCTTTGGCCACGCCCCTGGCACCCGGTGATGTATGTGGTTGGGGGTCACCACAACATGGGGAACTGTATTA